TGCCGACCTGGAGATCTTCGTCGAAAGTCCGAAGGATTTGAGGTTTTGAGTTTCGGGCTTAGGGTCTGAGATTCAGGGCGCATTTATGATTTCGGAACAATCAACCGCGACAGCTTGGCTGTACCTGCAAATCCCTGCCATGGCCCAGGACTTTAACTTACTCCCCCTCAAACTAGAACAAGCTGAATACTGGACCACGCGGACAGGCTTCACAAGGATCGTAAGAAGCCTGTGCANNTTGGAATGAAAGGAATTGGAAAGGATACAATATCCCGCTATAGTCCCTGTATAACTTTGGCTACAATTTACCCAGAAAGCCATATTCTGATCATAACATGAGCCCCTACCAAACCAGAGTGCCGGGCAATCTTTGCCATGAGCCGTTCCGCCCGCCTGTTTCAGACAGATGNNAAGCCCAAATCCTAAACCCTAAAACCCTAAACCTAGCGGAGCTCGTAAGATACCGGGGGCTCAGCTTATATCTCTATTCGCGGCTCAGGGCAATGTTCGAAACGACGACTTAGACGTAAACAGGAGACAGACGTAGAAACATGTTCCATATCGCGATGTAACAGCGCCCCACCCTTGAAAGCAGTTGCAAGGACGACTTCAAGCCACCCCTGCACGTGGCTTGTGCTGCACAGTCGATGTTGTCTCTCTTCGTCATGAGCCAACCAAGTCGTCGAGATGCAGGAACTCATTTTATAGCACAGTGCAGTAATGGTTATGATATACTGCTTATAATATAACACAACACAGTATATACTTTTATATAACCTAACATAAGATGACACAACATAACATGAAACAGCATAACATTATGAGAATATAACAAAATATATTAAATATAGTATCATAAACCATGTAATGATATAATACGAAACGATACAACATACTACAAGGTACAAATTATAATATACACCATAGAAAATGAGCTAGAAATGTGTAAACTGTGATGCATTTTATACCAGAAAGTTCATACTATACAACATATACCACTATATTTCATATGTGATGTAACACATGGGTTATTTTACATAATGTGCGGTGCAGCAAAACTATAGATCATATTACATCTTGAAACAGTAAGTATTACTTATTATATAACCTACAGCAGAACAATACAACACATTACAATACAGTACGAAACGAGACAATACAATACATTACACTATGACATAAAGAAGTACAATATAGGAACTATTGCGACATAGTGTAATGTAGTGTAGTGTGATGCAATGTAGTGCAATGTGATGTAATGCAGTGTAATGTATTGTAATGTAGTGTGGTGTAATGTAGCGCAATGTAATGCAGTGTAATGTAATGTAGTGCAATGTAGTGTAGTGTAATGTGATGTAGTATAGTGTAATGTAGTGTAATGCGATGTAGTGCAATGCATGTAAGGTAATGGAACGTAATGCAGTGCAATGTAATGTAGTGTAACGTGGTGTAATGTAATGCAATGTACTGTAATGGAATGAAATGCAGTGCAATGTAATGTAGTGTAGTGTAATGTGGTGTAATGTAGTGTAATGTAGAGTAATGCAGTGTAATGTAAGTAATGTAGTGCCATGTAGCGTAGTGTAGTGTAATGTAGTGTGATGTCATGTAGTGTAATGTAGTGTAGTGCAATGTAATGTAGCGTAATGTATTGTAGTGTCATGTAATGTAGTGTAATGTAATGTAGTGTAGTGTACTGTAGTATACTGTCATGTAGCTGATGTAGCTTGCTGATCCGAGTGGGAGCCTTGACTATTCGTCGTGCGGGATGGCGAGTTTCCGCCCGTGCCTCCCACAGCGGTGGTGCATCTGTTCCCAGTGCCAACGGTCTCAGGCTATAAGGGGTTTATGGGGCTACGGTAGTTACAAGTGGCTCAATAATGTCTACGCACAACGAGGAAAAGGAGTTGAGCATATGCGACTATGCCTTGTTGGGTTGTCGTGGCGATTTGGGCCGGGTCTGCAATAGTCAAGCCAATTCCCCATCGCAGGCTACGGAAAGCGGCAGGAAGGACGTCCAACCCCGTGCTTCATCCAGGGAAAGCTCATGGTAACCCTTACGAGCCCAAAAGTAGCCTAAACATGCCTAACCCCTAAACCCCTAAACCCGTAAGCCCTAAACCCTCAAAAACTCGGGGCCCAAGGGCCAGGCCGGAGGAAGGCGCCAGAGCCAATCGTGGCCCGAGCTCTGCTTGCAGGGCCTGGTATCAGGGTTTAGGGGTTTAGGGTTTTGGGGTTTTGGGGTTTAGGAAGGCTGTTCTTTTAAACAAAAGATCTGGCTTTATACTTTGTGTTTGTAAACGACAAGGGTTTGTAGAGAGTCTCATCAGTTTTTGGTAGGGTTTGGGACTGCAAGGTCACTGTAAGTGAAGAAATCCAGGACTCTGCTTAGCCTTGACCAGGTATGTCTTGCCAGAAAGGGTTAAGAGTCGCTGAAGACTTTTGACACCTGCTCGCCATCCGGATCTGTTCGGCAAGGCTACGTTGTATAATTACGCCCTGGGTCAACGATGATGGACAGCAGTCTTCTTTTTACCATAGATCTGTAAGGGCCTAGCACTTTCTTCAGGGCTGTTCAACCTGACGAATGCGAAGTGCATGTTTGCAGGGGATTGATGGCCATGCTCGGCAGAAGCCAGCACAGCTTTGTTCGTCGGTAAAAGGAACCGCCTGTTAGCTTACAGCCATGGCAGTGTTTGCTTTCGTTTGAGTCTGCAGCTACAGGCCGCTGGAAGCTTGAAGAGTAAGGGTTGCTGTAACGGCTTCTACAATCGTACTTTGACGGAAACTGCCTTTATGAGAAGGGTTCCTTTACAGGTACTGCGATGCTACAACAAGGGGGTTAGGGTTCAGGGTTTCAAGCCTCAGGTGAGCTTGATCGTAGTCAAACCCTGTGGCATGTAAAGGCCCCGGATTGGAGAACGGGGCAGAAACCTGGGGTGTGGAATTCCTACATTTGAATGCCTTGGCTCGCCGGACGACAGCTGTCGTCTGAACACTAACACTCATAGACTCATAGACGGCGCTCATTTCCGTCTGATCAGCGTCCTTTATGACTGACAGCGATGTTCACGTTGGTCTTGCCAAACGGATGAAGAGCCACAGTATGGAGTAGGTTATGGCAGTCACGCTGCTACCTAGTGACCTAGTAGAGCGAGGCAGCGCGACTGAACTTTGCCAGCCAAGGCACCTTGCACGGCTCTTTCGCGGCTTCGCTTGTGAGCTGAGTGAAGGCATGTTGGAGCAGCACCTGCAAACACCGGCTTGAGCAGGGGCCGCTACTCCAGCACCGCAGTCTTGCTACGGCAGGTACGGTGAAGATACACGTTGCGCTTCATCGCCAGGGCCTGTAGACACTATGGGCACAGCCGGCTTACCCCAGAAACGCTATCCTTCATAAAGGACTTTGGCAGCCTCAACACCCCCACAGCAAATACACATAATGACATACATGCATATGTATGGTGATGTATGGTGACATACCTAGGATCGTGACAAAGATCATGCCTAACTCAGAGAATCGAGCTCAAACTCTGGATGAGAAGTGCTTGTGAAAGATCTACAGCATTGCAGCTGGTTCAGAGGCATCTACGCGGAGTTCGCCAGGGCAGAACGGCCCTTGCAGGAGCGTAGCTTCGGGTTTGAGATCGCTGGACGCCATCGACTTCGAGTGCGAGCCGACGATAATCTTCCGAAGGATTGCTTGATTTTGTGGAAAGGCCCCACCTGCCGAATTCCAGCATCAAGCCTGGGGCATTTGTCGCTGAGGGCTTTGACGAAAACCCTCGGTGAGAACATCTTCATCCCAAATTTTGGGCAACCGGCGATGAAGATTTATATAAGTCAGAACTCCACAAGACCCGGTGCTGATGTTGTCGGGGTAGCACCTGCGCCGGTGGTCGCTCCGACTGAACTGTCAGACAGGCTGACCTCAAGTGGCTGTCCATGCTGGGCTAAACTACCTTAGCTTGTGATGTTGTGTAGATGATACTTGAATGTCCAAGCCCAGCCTAGGTGCGCACTCTCATGCCCTTCGTGTCATGACCCACATAAACCGGCTACGACCTGTTCCCCACCCCAGACGAGCTAAAGTTTTCGAAAGATGACAGCGCAATCCGCAGCTGGTCCTCAAACACCACACCTGTCCTGTCCGCATTCCCAACGTACGTAGAACTGCTGACCCAATTCTCCGTGCAAGCAAGCCCAAACCTCGCAAGCTCACCGTGGGCCGAACACAAAGTTCACGAACTCAGGCGAAGATTTCGAGGGATCAGGGAGGCCTCGCTGCAAACGGCACAGGCCTATACAAGTCAAGCATTTATTCCTGGCTTCACCTGGTTCGGACAATGGTATAGGAGGCATCGGCGGTAGCAGAAGGTAGCGGTAGCGATAGCGGTGGCCTTAGTGGTGGGAGTCGTAGTGGTAGTGGTTGTGGTGGTGATGGGAGTGGTAGTGGCGGTGGTAGTGGTAGTGTGGAAGTGGTAGTGGTGGTAGCGGAAGGTATTGGTAGTGATGATAGTGATGGTAGTAGTGGCAGTAATGGTAGTAGTAGGTAGTAGCAACAGTAGCAGCAGCAGCAGCAGTGCGAGTAGCAGAAGTTCAGTAGCAGCAGCAGTCGTAGTAGTAGCGCAGTGCTAGTGTCAGTAGCCGACGGCAGAGCTGCAGCAGTAGCACAGGCACTGGTGGTCGGCAAGGTCGTAGCGGACGGAGAAGTCAGTACCAGCACCGCGCAGTCGCCTATAATTGAAAGAGCAAACTCGAGAGCCTAATTCTCACAAATTCTCGAGGCGACCGCCAGAGGGCGGCTTGGTGCTGATGACGAACATGGCCCGCGTGGGAGGGATGTGGTAGTACGGAGGATGACAGTCAGCCTGGCACACATGATTTTCACAGAGATATATTCCCCTTCGATGCAGTTAGTCTCAGTTAGTCTCGATCAGCTGTACCTGTGCACGTGTATGTACAGTGCGCATCTATCCATATCTATATCTATATATCTATATATCTATATATCTATATATATATATATGTACACATGTGTATGTATATATGTATATATATATATATATGTACATATGTAAATATCAACCAAAACTAGAGTATACTGCGCTAGGACAAAACGTTCGCCGCATCAGCATGCTCTGATTGCACGGTAGACTCAGAGCAAGGCCCCTCTGTGCCCCACTGACCAGAGCCAGGTCAAATGCACTTCGTCGCACTCCAAGAAACTTTGATTTGGCTCATGTATACAGTTGCATGTGTGTTGTATACACACATGAAAACATGCTGATATAATTGCATGATATGTATATAGACAATACTGCAGAGAGAGGCAGTGAGGGAGATTGAGCTAAGCAGTATAGCGTACAACGTTAAAGACTGAACTCGAAAGCTGTCTTGTGCACTGCCCGCGACTTAGCTATCTGTGCTGCCTTCTATGCGCCTTGTTAAACGACCTCGACTGAGGGTATCATCAGATGGCAGCACAGTTGTGATGAGTCCTTCCAGTACAGCAGGCCTCAGACTTTTAGAGAGTGAGGAATGATCTGTGCACGATGCCAGCTACAGCAAGGCCGAAGGCTTAGTTCGCGACCAGCGATAAACACTGAGATGATGTGTCGTCCAGCAGGATTTGAAAGGTTCTTACCGGTTAAACCCTGAAGTGGAGCTTGGGTATCAAGCCCTAGCCCCCGGCGCGGCTATGCCATCCCTCAATCCTCGCCGGGGTCCCAAATCGAGGGGCTGGAATGCAAGCAAATCTCCCCTAAAGCCTCAACCACAAAATCCTCACCCCAGCCCGGCCATCTCGATACAGGTTATCCCCAGGGACCAAATGTCCGCCGTGGCATTGTAAGCCTGTGGAGGAGGGAATTAGGTTTAGGACTCCCTGATGCATTGGTCCACAACAGCCATATCTAATACTGTTGCTTGTTCTCTTGCTGTTTCTGCTGCTATTGGTGCTGTCGTTGCGTTGCAATAGGTTATCGTTGAGATTATAATATGCTGTGTCGCTGTTGTTGTTGTTGTTGCTGCTGTTGCCGCTCTTGTTGATGCTGCTGCTGTTGGTGGTGGTCTTGCTGGTCTTCTTCCTTTTGCTGTCGTTGCTGTTGTCGTTGCTGCTGCTGCTCGCCGTTGCTGCTGCTGCTGCTTCTGCTGCTGCCGCCGCTGCTGCTGCTGCTGCTGTGCTGCTGCTTTTGCCACCGCCACCGGCACAGCCGCCCGCGGCTGCGGGTACCGTTGCTGTTGCTGTTGCTGCTGCTGTTGTTGTTGTACTTGTTGCTGCTGCTGTTGTTGCTGCTGTTGTAGTTGTTTCTAAAGTTGTTGCTGTTTGTGCCGCTGTTGTTTTTGCTGTCGTTGTTGTCGTCGTCGCATTGGCTATGCTTGTGATTACTGCTGCTGTTGTTGTCGTCTTTGTAGTTGTCGTTGTCTTTGTGGTTTTGGTTGAAGTTGTCCATGGGGTTGTTTTGATGTTGCAACAGGAAGAACGTGACGCAACATGACCGTTATCGTCGGCATCAAGCATCATCACTGTGGGTGCAGGCTTCGCCTCCTGTTGCTGCCGATGGTTGGATCAGTGGAATGGCTACGATAATTAACTGAACGAAAGGTAGTTGGGCATCAGGTGGTTGAGCAGCATCGGGGCCTGGGGTTCAAAAAGTGACATTTTAAACATGGAGGCTGAGAACAATAATCCAGATAGTACCAGCAAAACAACAAGTATCATATCGGGCCAAGGCTATCCACAACATCCATGAGCACCATCATCATCTGCGACAACTCGTGCCATCATAAGGACTTCGGGCCTCGGGTGAACCTAGCACTATGATGGTATGACATGATTTGGGAGTCTTGTGGGGCTTGAAGCGAGCTATCAGCTCGCAAACCCCGTCGCTGCCAAGTCGGCTGGTGTGAACTGCACACCCGGAATCCTACATGCTAGCGAGGCCCACAGATAACACCCCAAAGCGAAACAAACAACCCGCAAACACAACACATCCCCACTCAACCCCCTGCATGCCTCTCCCTTGATAACCTCCGGGGCCATCCAGTAGGGCCTCTGCCGAGCTGCATCCACAGTCGTCAACTGAGATATTCATGATACTTAGATGAACAAGTGTAAAATGATCGTATCCACAACAAGAACATGCAAGATGGACTGTTCGTAAGATTAAGGGTGCCGTATGTAGGGTCCCTTGTAGTAAGGATCTCGCTGATGTCTTGATCCATAACTGGTTCTCGACAGCAAAGGCTCGCGCAGCAGCCCAAGCAAGAATGGTGCCTGTATGGGAGTCTCTGATCAAGTGAGTCATCATCCAGCAGTATGCAACCAGCATCAACTATATACTCCTGGCAGTGCGAGAACGATGACAGCATGAACAACTACGGTATTTGTGCAATTCGGCGCAGTTCTGCAAGTCAGAGCGGAGGCTAAGCCCACGAGATGTCGTATTTGTTGGACCTCCAAGCTTCAAGAGGGCTCCGGATTGCAACCCGAAGCCGGCTCCTGTTCCCGGGTCGCCGGACGAGCCAATCTGCGTGTTTCTCCGGGCCCAGGTGTTTTGGAGCTGGCAGGAGATGCCGAAGTCGGCAAGCTTCGGCTGGAACCTTGGAAGCTTCATCCGGGGACCGAAAAGGCGAAGCAATAGAATCAAAACATGGGTGCTCATCTCTATATAGTCCATGCAAGAAGCGAGAATGGTCGGCAGCAGCAGCAACACCCACACGCCCACTGAATAACCAGCATGACCCGAACCAGCGCCGCTACAACCTCCACCATGATCGCCACCGCGACCACCACCAGAGGTGGTACAAACAGCAAGAACAATAGTTAATCATGATAACAGTAAACCGCCTTGAACAAGAAGACGAACAACAACAAGAACAAACCAACCAACCAGCCAGCCAGACAGCCAGCCAGCCAACCACGACCACAACCAACAGACCAACAACCAGCAACCAACAACCACAACAATAGCAGCAAAAGCAACAGCAACAGCAACAGTCCTCATAGCTCTCTGTAGCGAAGCGATGCGACGAGCAGAAATTTGCAACACCTAGCAACAGCAAGGAAGGAAAGACGTTGATCTGGAGCTTCAATATGCCTCAATCCTCGTACAAATTTCCGACCGGATCCCTCGTGCAAGTATTTTCGGGTACAAATGTGCCATGATGCACAAAGCATGCAGATACAGTCGTAGCAAGTAAGCTAGAGCTTCTGTGGGACGGAAACGTAACAGCAGGGCAGCCCAAGACTGTTATTTTGCCCACTTCGCGTAAACCATACTGCACAGCTGTGCTCATGAAAGATGCTGTGACCAACTCCCTCTCCGTACCGAGCCGACTGCTGTCCGGTGAGCAGGATGTTACCAGCCTCTCCACAACTCCACGTGCGCTTCACATCTCCCTCTGCAAATTTCGAATCTCCGCTTGCAGGAGACTTCCTAAAGTCCGAAAGCAACCTTGATTTCGACGTGGGAGTTGCGCTTGGCTTCTGCGGTCTTCGTACCAAAAATGGCGTTCAAGACGCACAGTCCGAAAGAGCAGCGAATGGAAGTACGTCGCGTTTACGGAAAGCTCTGAGCGCTCGCCAGTCCGTGTCCCATTGCTTCACGCGAAATTGAATCCCATTGCGATGAAGCTCGTGGGGTTCGACCCGATTCTTCAGTTTAGCAGCTGCGAACATGAGCGAAACTAAACAGCTTCGGGGCCATGAAGACCCTACTCTGCTTCCATGACTACTCTCATGGTTACAATACCGTTTCCAGCGTCAAACCTCCAGGGCATGCATGCACAGAACCCGGCAGAGAAACACAGTCTAACTCGGCAGAATTCAACATCATCCTGAGTCGACACCAATAGCTCGGTGGCAAGACCAAGATAATCGTTGTTGACATGGTGTTGACGACGATGGTGATGCTGATGCTGGTGCTTGGTGCTGTTGACGCCATGGCTTTTGTGATGATGGTCATGACGATGTTGCGGATGGCAGTGGTGGCGGGTTATGATGCAAGTGGTAATCACGACCTTGCTCTTTGGCATTGCAGTAGCATTTCCGGTTGCGTTTGATGGTGTTGATGGTTGTGTAGTGCTATGCTGTTTTCTCACAAGCCAGGACCCGCAGAAATCCACAAGGTCCGGGCCTTCACGTCGCGGTGAATCTTCCTCAGGGTAGCGCCAAGGGCTTGTGTCAGGTTATGCTGTTGGGGTTTGTTGCTTCGCGTGTTGAGGTTTTGAGGTGAAGCAGTCAGCGTAAGTCAAGGTCAGGCTAGAGGCTGCTAGTCCACCGGTGAAGTTTCGGTGATCCACAAAAACTTCTGGCTGTTGGCACACAGTGACTGAAGTCAGAGCAAACGGAACTGAACACTTCATTCAGCTGTTTTGCTGGTTGGGATGGCTGAAAAGCTGATACCACAAAGGTATCATCAGTGGTGTTTATGTGAGAATACGACTGAGTGCCTCTAAGCCGGAATCCATGCCGGCCAAGCGGTGTTGCCCACCGCCGTACAGTTGCCATCACATGTGACTGCGTGTTCCAGAGCACGCAGCGAAACCTGGACGATGTCGTTTCCGAATCGCTGGGTTCCATCTTCCTAAGATCTAAGAGACTTCCCGTCTGCAACAGCAGAACCCGCATCGAAACCCTAGGAATTTGCCCAACTGAAGAATTTTGCCGTATGTTGCACCGTGCGTTTGCAAGAAAGGAGACGTGATTCACGAATGGCACTGGCGGTTCGAAACTGTCCCAGGCGTGCAAAGCAGATCCGTCCGAAGCTCAATTTTGCATTCACGATTTCCGGTCCTGAATTCAAGCTGCGACAACGCTCATCGTTCGACACTCTTAATATTAATAGTCCAATGCCAACACCAAGACTCGGATCATGAGTCCTCTTGCTCTCATCAGTTGGAATCTTATACGCTTTGCTACCTCGAATTACCTCGACAAATTCATCTCAGGCCACGGCTTTGTGTCATGCAGGTACTGGAGACCGCGCAACACCTTCTCAAACTGAGGTCTGTGACTCCAGACTTCTCAGACACCAGTAGCCAATGCTAACTGCCAGCCGCTCACCACTAGTACCTTGCCGGCTTTGCTGCAGAATGCTTTGAATGTGGCAGATTCGAGGATTTCCAGCTAAGGATTTCAGGAGGGACCCCTAGATGCCACCCCAGGCACCCAATCGCATCTACGTGGGATTCCACAGGCCACGCCAAGAGAAAGGCAAGGGCCCACTGCATCCCAGCATTTCACAAAGTTGGACGAGCAATGCAGAGCATACGTGCAGGATACCTACCCCAAACCGTCTAAGGCGGTCAGTTCTCATGCTCTACCCCAAGCAGCAGCTCTATTTCAGCTTTTCACGCTCACGACAGGTCTGTCTGAGGGATGGTCTAGTAGAATAGATGTGGAGAAGCACGCCACAGATGCGGCTCTCGGCGTTCAACGGATGTCGCTCGTGTCAGGCTGCACTGAGCTGGTGAGGGCAGGGCTGCCTTGAGCTAAGGCAGTCACGAGGTACCAATGCTCCGATTTGGGTCATTCAAAGGGGCACCCTTGGAGACCTGGATGCTGTGTGGCCTCTCGAAACCTTGTAGACTTCAGAGACTGCGTTCGGTACCACAACTGCAGCCGGCTCTGTGCGATGCGACCGAGACCGGCTCTTCCTCACCCCACCGTCACCCGAAGAACGGCCCGTGCGAAAGGAGGCTGTGCTCCAGTTCGCATGAGACATATGATTCACAAATTACCTGCGCTATGCCTGGGTCCTTTATGCAGAAGGTAACAGATAGGTTGCGCCGGCATTTCAACATGGCAACAACATGTGTATCACCCGGGCTCATGAATCCAGATCGGACTATGCATGCACACCCTTTCAGGGCTGTCGCTCAAAAGCCTGTCTCTGTCTGAAACCCCTGCACGATCAGCACATGATATGATCCAGGCATTGCCAGCTCAAGAGCAAAAAAAGATCAATCAGGCTCTTCCTTCGCCTCGTCGAACAATTTGCTACTGCATCTCACACGAGAAACAAACTCCTTCGGCAAGGAAGTGCCTCGTGTCTGCCGAGCAGGCAAACAGCTAGGCATTGCAAACTATGGGTGGCAAGATGCAAGTAGGATTAAGCTCTGCTGTCATTCTCCTGCTGTCTAAGCCACGCTCTGCATGTCGCTACCTTCCCCAGGCCCGAGTTCACGTTACGCCCCTCTCTATTCGGACACTTCGGCCCTCGTGCCAGTCCGGAGCAGGTTACCTGCGAATTCTGCTAATTGCTATCATTGGTAACTTGCATCATGAATTGTGGAAGGTTGCATCAGGGCTCTGAGGCGGAAGGGTGGGCGACTTGCAGCACAATTCCAAAGAATTCTGACAGTCGAGACGCCGTCAGTCGCTGAGCTGAGCGGTGGTGGACGATGTCGAGCACAACATGTTCCAGACTTCTTCTTCACATCCGCGTAGTCCAACCATGCAATCACCAGGGGAGACCCACAAGGCTTCGGGACTCTGGTGACTTAGCTCCGAGGTTTATCTGGATGTGACCAGGCTTCGAGCGATTACGAAGTCTTCCAACTACCGAAGCTTTGGCTGAACACTCTCCATGAACCGCAAGCTTCAAGCTGGCCAATGCAAGGATCGCAAGTCTTAGATGAAAGTCTTGGAATGAAGCACAACCACAGGCGCTAAACACCCGAGAAAAGCCTTGCATCTCGACTCTCTCCCGCTCACAGCCCAATCGCAGGCGGCCCGATTGAAACAGTCGACCAAGACCCCTCAAGTAAGGAATCACCCTTTGCACTAGCTGATTTTGAAAGGCGTGTTCCTCAATTAAAACGGATCTTGGCCTGTCTGGCCACAGGCCTGTCCAATGTGCCGCCCTTATAGATGCTGCCTCCAGAGTAGACCCTCTGGATCAGCGGGGAGGGCGGAGGTCGGCAGCTTTCGGTCTTTCTGATTCTCACTTACCCCTCAGGGCTTTGAAGTTTCAACACGCGTTTCAGTGCCTGTAAGCCTGTGAGGTACCACGTTCGAGAGACATGTTGGGTTGAGGAGGGTAGCAGTATGAGCCTGTACTTCTCCCATTATACATGCCATCCATCTCCCGACGAACTGCGGAAGCCGCGGAACCTCTCCACTCTCCACCCAAAGCTTCGTAGTTTAGAGTCTCTCTATCGCTCTCTCTCTCTCTCACACACTCTCTTTCTCTCTCTTTCTCAATTTCCGCCCGGTAAGCTCTCCCCGCAAGCAGCTTGGCGACCCAGGGTACTTCCTGCGGCTCGATTCGAACCAAAACGATCCTAAAATGTGGGGCGCTGCTGGCAGGGAAGTTCTTGGGAATGATGCTCAAGGCTCATAGGATGGCGGAGTGGTAGAAACTCCAGCTCCGCCAAAAGATCGTTCCCCCCTGCGATTGCCTGCCGCCACAAGAGTTCCGTCAATTTCTGTCATCTTCAGCCTGCCTGGAGGCTTCGGGCTGTTCGTAGAAGGCATGGTGTTGACTAGTAGTGTCGCATGCGATACACGCAGCCAAAATTCGACGCGATGGGGTCCAGAATCCCACTGAATGGAGTGCCTTCTGAGGTTTTGCCCTTCTCCGTGTGAGCGGGATCCTCTGACCACTCTCTGCAATCCTATCGGAGCTGACGAGCTCTCTTGGTCTGGCTACCAGGCATCGCTAGTGGTTGTATCGGCTCCTCCTTCTCCTGAGCATTGCCTCACCAAAGAAACACTTTCAAAGCCGACGGGCACACATGCTAAAGCCAGTGCTCAGGATTGGAGAAAGCAGGGTTTCACGAATGCCTGGGGGTACAGCCACTGACCGTAGCCCCGCGACGCGCAGGGCTGCACAGGCTGGGAATCGCATGAGCCGCTGCCTTTGATGAGTTGATAACATTGTTTATCCTTCTTAGGTCCTACCCCCCACAGTGATCCGATGTAGAGTGTCACCACTTGCAGGCTCCGACCGGAGAGCGAACTAGAGATTCTTAGCCTCTTGAAGCTGCCTTCGCAATCTCTCCTAGATTCGCGGGGTCTGGATTTTGATGCTATGGGTGACAGCGACCAGCAATCCTGCCGCGAATTGCACAGTACTAGGCTCGCATGTGTCAGGGGAGGCGCATCTGTGCAGAGGCATAAAACGCCCAAAAAGACACCGTCATAACTCTCAAGATCCTGTGCAATATCCTAGCCTGGAGCATGGAAACCCGACGTGTGGTACGCCAAACTGCAGCTTGGTTTGCGCGGGACATCAATAGACTTTGTTTTGCAACACGTCTAGTTGCCGGAAATCCTCTGAAGAAAGGATCTGAGTCTAATGAAAGACGCCACAGAATGTCCCGTGCCAGGAGGCAGCAAACACATGCTGTACAGGGGCATTAGCAATTAGGACAGGCTTTGGGGGTGTATTACACAATCGGCATAATAAGGAACTTTCAAGACTAATATTGGCAATCATTCAGGCTTCTATATCAAGGAACCACAGAGTCTCGCATGAGAATTAAGGCAAAGCTCTCTGCTCCTTTGGGTCCTGTCCTGGATAGGTTTTGATAGTCCTCAAAAGCCGAGTTGGCAATTCAAACGGCAGCTCCCTGACACAAAGCTTCTGACGAATAGGATTTGAAAAATTGATCGGATCGTCAACCAATGTGTCTCGTGAGACCTCGGAATCAGTCGGAGGTCGTGGAAATGAGGTCTGGGGTCTGGCAATCCTGTAGCTGGTCGATCTGAATACCCGGTATTGGGAGCAGAGGGCTCTGGAGCTCAAGATGGACCAGCTATAAATCAGCACTGTGCACTTCGCTACCGCGTCATCTTCCTTGTGGCACTTAGACAGCCCTGCCTCTGCTGGCGAACCACTTAGATCAAATCTATAATTACTGATCACACCGGTTCTGCAGTCTATCAAGCGGCAAGCGCACTGAACTCAGTACTACACAACACCCTCTACTGAGGTGCATGCATTCGCAGCAGCGACTGTTGTCCGTTGAGCGTGGAGAAAGCCACTGCGTAGCGTTTGACCGAAGACTGCTCCTGCTGAGGCTATCGAGCTTTTCGGGGATCCCCGCCTGTGGGCTTCGAGTCTTTAGTTCGGGAAGCTCTGATGCTCTGGTAGCCTACAGTAGGATCCGGGATGAAAGGCAACTGCATTGACCGGCTAGTCTACGGAACAGGATGTTCATGTCGTGCTGCAAGAGCTGCCGAAGCGGATCAGTTACTAGGCCCTCCCAGCTTGCTTGGAAGAGTGAAGCCGACGTGCACGGATAGGCTTCTAATCCCAGAAATTGAATATATTTCAAGTCGAAAAGGCAAGAGGAGAAGCCGGTTTGACATGATGTGCTACTCTGCCCGCGGACACATCCGTTCATGAGTTTCGTGCGGTGCGACACAAGCATCAAATGTTTCACAGGTCCTTCGCGAGCTCTCCGCTATAAGTTCATAAACGGGATGCTTACAGAAAAAAACCCAAATGCTGACCCGAAAACTCTCAGACCCTACCTGCAACTCATGAAAATACCCGTTTCGCTCCGCGAATCTGCGGCCAAACATAGCTGGCAGCGCCTGGATGGTTGAGGGCTTTCGGTTTGGGCATCGTGGATTCAGGGCTAAGGAGCTAGGGCGCTTGAACTCAAGTGCAAAACCCTGAAACCCGAAACCCCAAAGTATGTTCTATAAGTTTCATGTCCACCGAGCAGTCGAAGGCGTCTGCTCCTGGTTCCAAACCATCGAAATTTAACTAACTGGGATCCCTCCACCTTGTGATGACTCCCTGATCGCTTTTCGTCCTGACCCTAAATTAAATAAGGTGGCTTGAACATGGCTCAACTATCGTCGCCTAAATTCCCTGCAGGGCGCCTGGACCTAGAGATCATGCTTGGTGGATGCTTGGCCAGAACCAACTACACGTGTTCAACAACTAGGCTTTGCACCAAACAGCTTCAAGTAGCATGTCATAAGTCTTGAGGGCTTTCCTCGTGCAAGCACTACTTCGAAGCGTCAGCTCACACCATCGCCCTCCTTCCGGTCAACATCGCCATGACTGATAGCTCACTATCATTAGGATCATCCTTGCTATCACGGCAATTAAAATCAGCATCGACGCTGATATCATCAGCTTCAAGCGACCGGTCCCAACCCCACCACCACCACCACCACCACCACCACCACCACCACTTCGCTATCACACAACAACGGCAACAAAGACTCTACCAGGTCTCATGGTCCGCGATCACTCTCACTGAGTACTACCACCACAACCACCACCGCTACCTCCTGCTTCTACTGCTTCTGCTACTGCTTCAAAGAGTACGAACTACTAGTATCTCTTCACCTTTTCCTTACCAACCATGGGCTCACAGTGCGAGGTTGCGCTCCTCGGGCAACCGACGCTCTCTTGATAAAATCTCGTGTAGGTCCTCGCAGAACGACTCAAACGGTCTTTGGAATTTTGCAGGTGTGGAAATGCACACCCCGGACTTGGGTCGGAGTTCGAGGGCTGCGGTCTTTAAGAATGTGGCTTGTTTTTCTCTGACTCGGAAAAATGCTTTGAATACGTAAGACTAGTACGAGTAAACATTGAAGCGGTAGCCGAAGCATGAAACCAACAGCCACAATAGGCTTGATCGTTGTTATAACATCAACAAGGATGATGGCCATAGTGGTAGCTGGTAGAGATAGTCATTGTAGGGACGACAGAAGTACTGGCGAAATACAGCAAGCAAGAAGTCTTGAGAACTGCGATCCAGACACTCCTGGCACTGGGGACATCAATGGGAGAGAGCTTCAGGCATTAATGGCAATGCAAGTTCTCGCACAGACTCACCAAACCCAAGACTCTAGACTCTAGATGTAAGCCACTGTCAAGAAGAAACAGCACACAACAGCTACTGCTACTACAACTTCTGCCAGGAGAGCTGAATACCAACAGCAGTTGTGATTAGACTAACAGCCGTTCAGAAGAAAATCGAAACACTACGCCATACCACCAGAAGTAGTACTTACTTATGACCACAATCATCGCCTTTCGGTAACCCTGCCAGCAATGAAGACTGTCGTCTGAGAATAGCGAAGAAGGGCTGGAGTGCTCAGCGTACCTACAGTGTTATCTACTGGTGAGCCGAAGATTCTTCCGACCCCCATAATGCATAGTGTAGGGGGCCTTAATCATCAGAATAGGGTTTTGGGGTATGTTATACTATAACTATAATAAGGAACCCCCAGAACAGTATTGGTAGTTATTAAGGCCCCTGTAGGGTCACATCAAGAAGAGGTGACTCGCCAAGATCAGCCAAGCGTCTCAAATTCGACATTGCAACCAGAACGCACATGCTGTCTAGGATTTGTGCCATGCCTCGCAGCGGACCCCGAAGTCTTCCAGATAAACCCACCTACTGACATTTCTGGAGCTGTTCAGCGGCTTCCGGGCTCTTTGGGGGAGCCAATGAGTTCCTGTGGAACTGGTACACAATAGTAACTTCAATAGTACATGCTCGTATGTTCTAGCACATCTTAATAGTATATTATATAGTACACTATAACATCTTGTTGAATCGACAGAAAGTGGGTTCAGGGTTCAGGATCGGCTGGGCATTCAATGACGCAGCGAGGGGCATCTTTGGAGCATCTCATGACCTGGTGGCATACATCGCTTGAGAACAACTGGGACGTTGGACTTTGGATTAAGACACCTGGCCTCAACTGCTTGCATTGCAATGCATCGCATCTAGACATATAGCATCAGGTCAATGCTGCTGTTTTTGGCGAAGTTGCTCACCATGATGCTGTTTTCGTGGTTCCAGGTGGCAGTGTGTTCAACACAGGCCTCACACATGCCTTATTCGCAAAGTATTCAGTCTTGCAGTGTTATTTTTGCGAGTTCTTTGACATCAACGGCAGACAGAACAGTAGGGATGAGCAATGCTTCTTCTGACCGGTTGAGTGGCAGTTTGGTCCCTCGATGTCAGATCCTCAGATTCGAAGCCCCCCGCCCAAAGCTGCCATGGAGGTGTGAAGTAGTGTTAGAACTTGGAACAAGTATTCGTAATTTCCGGGAATACATAAATGAAACAAATGAATACACTAATTAATATATAAGTACACATAGACACACACATATATATATACATATATATACACACATATGTGTATATATATATATACACATATACACATACACATGCAAAAAATAAGTATAGTAGACCTTTGGGTGAACCCCCCCGATGCCTGATTATTCTTACGAAGGACTTTCCATTACAGTCGGGCCAAGCTGCAAAAACTCTTGGAGAACTTCAATGCTGTAAGCCCTTCCGGCTCACACGCGGCACTGTAGCCTGGGTGCAGAGGGCAAATGAGCGGTTAGGGGCGGTTCTAGGATAGCTGCAGGTCCGGCTTGGAGTCCCCTGCAGGTTTCACACATTGGGTTTCCTTGCCTGATGCCTCTGATTCATTCTGATTGTTCAACGCTCTCTGTGGTGGTCGGGGTCGCATAGGTTTTCAGTCCAACAAATCCCTGATACTTTGACTATGGTGGCTGTGATGACGAGGAATACCCAGGCGGGCAGCCAAGTGGCAGAGTCTTATCCGCCTTGCCGCAAACGAGAGCCAGTGGACACGCTCTTACCTTAGAAGGCTTAACGGTTCATGGTTGCTTGCAGGCAGTGGAAGTTGCTTGCTTTCCACTGATTGCTGCGACTCCATGGCGCACGATCGACTGCATGTGTGCTTTGGGTTTGCAGCTACATCCCCACACCCATCTACACCCTAAACTCTAGAATGCGTGTGTCTTGGTGAATCTGCTGGCCAGGTCAGCAGATCCTAAACCGAGAACCGACGAGAACTCGTGCCCAAAGCCGAGATCACAAGCACCCACCACGAGTCACATAACCAGCTGACATTTCTTACATTGGGAGGCAGAAGCCCATGGGCTGCCAAAAGGTCCTTCGAAACTCAAAACGGCTCATAAGCTGCAGCTTTGTTGGAACTATGTCTGGGACCGGAACATGTTCAAGGTACCGCCGGCACTGTTGCAAGACATGTGCCACAGTGGCAGTTCGCGATACTGAATTCGAAGGAGAAGCAGCCATTTCGACAATGGCATGAGCAGTGTGGCAATGCTGTGGACTCTGAAAACGCATTTCCTTTGAGCAGCTGCTTTATGCTCCTGCTCCCTTTCCAGCCCGGCTTGTGCTGACTTTGATGACAACAACTTTAGGTTTAGGGCTTCAGGGTTTCGGGACCTCAAAGCCTAAACCCCTGATTGGCAGGCCTTGTAGAACCTCAACATCCCGAAGAGCAACCCAAACCCGAAAACCCGCAATTCACCACGGCCTAAAGTTGTCGAAGTCGCGAGCCGAAGGTCTGCTCCCACTTACCCCATCTGCGGTTGATGCGATGGCTCAGAAAAAGATGAGGAGCTGCGAAAGACGAATGTATGTGAGACTTCGCGAGGATCGACACGATGAGCAAAGCTCCAGCTGCTGGTGACAGGAAGCCTGGATTCCTAGATTGCCGCGACTGCCTCGACCCTTCTGCTTCAGGCACATATGCCAGCCAATGACAAGGGCTGTAGAGGTAATGAAGAGAAAAGCGATGACAGTGCTGTGGTGCTGAGGCCAACTTTTTTGCTGATGCCGGTATAGATGGCAATGGTGATAGCGCTGATGAATCAAGCTCGTAAGTATGAGGAGCATGTGCATAAGAAGATGCTGATGCTTTGGCTGATGCTGCTCTTGCTGCTGCGGGAATGACGAAGGGACTAGGATGATGATGATGATGATGACGACAACGAGGATGATGTGATGGTCCTGATGACGCATGTTCAGAGCAACAGTTAACACCGATGCCAACGTCGTGATCGCGATCGCCATCGGCATCGCAGACACGCGCATCATCATCATCATCATCATCACTTCGAGCCACGAGTGCTACTTATCAATGTTGTTCTTTCTGTGCCTTCCCTGATTCTCCTTAATTATTCCTCTTCGTTGACCCTCACCTTCAACACGACTACAATGATGCTGACACTTGTTATGCCGTTATGCAGGCCTCCCAAATCAGCAGCACCATTACCATTAAAATCTCGATCAGCATCGACATCCTTACTATGAACCATTCTCGGTCTTTTTGCATCATTCATCACCGTCACCAGCATTAGCCGTCGAATCAGCAGCGTCATCATCAGCAGCACTATGTATTCCATCCTGAGCGTCATCATTATCGAAGTCGTGCTTTGTTCCGCCACATCTTCGCCTCATCGCCGCCATCACCAACGCTGGAATCACTGTCACCACCACCTGCAACCAGCGAAATATTGTCATTATCACCATCACCATCATCACCGGCGTCATCATCATCATGTCTTCATGTCATCCTCATCTTCAACATCTTCACAATCATCATGATCATTATTGCCCTCGTCTGCCTCCTCCTCCTCCTCCGCCGCCTCTGCCTCCGCTTCCTCCACATCATCATCCTTATCCCCATCATAATCATCATTCATATCATTTTTGAGTGCTGGTCGCCCAGCAGCCCGCTCCTCCACCCCATCATCGTCATCACGAGCAGCTTCTTCTTCTTCGTCATCATCATCACCGTCATCATCATGATCATCCTCACCACCATCACCATCATCATCATCATCATGATACTCATGACGGCCAAGGTCAGCACATATGTCCCTGGTCATCTTCTTTTCTATCATTGTTCACCATCATCGGTCTTGTCACGGCCCGCTTCTTCATGATCGCATGCTTGTCGTCGCGTCTTCATCTTGGTCATTGTCTCTCCTCCTCTTCTCTTCTGTAGCTCTCTCCTGTTCCTGTTCCGTCTGACACCCTGTGGACTACCTACGCTTCCATGCCTGACATGACTGCCTTCGCAAGTCCCATGGAGCTATCTTACAGTCTACAGCCGAGGATGGCTGAAGAGAAACTGGGATGGGGAGGGCCAGGTGCCAGAGGGGGGGGAGAAGAGCGCAATTCAGGGATTCGGACAAAACAACAGAGACAGCAGCAGGGGCTTTGTCGGAAGCTTTCGCCAGCTTCTTCGGCCCGTCCCTCATCACAAGGCTCAAGCCGAGGTGCTTTGGTAAATCTACGCCCCAGTAGCCTGCGAGAGGTACACCTTGGCTTAGAGCTCGGTTGCCAGAATCTTTTTCCTTGTTCGTCAAACCTTACAACTGCAGGGTGCAAAGAAACAACTCTTGCTCCGGTGCAGAAGTTTGAGTTGAGGACAGGAAAGCGATTCATGGACTATTTCCTCACTTCTGCATGAGCGGCCTTCATGAAACGGGAAGCTTCCTGGTTTTTAGAATCCTCAACTCTGTGGCCTCTGAGACCTGAGACTTCTGTGCCCGTGCCGACATTTGTTGGATCTAGGGCTGCGCAGGTTAAATTAGGGTTTAGGGTCTCCGAGCTGGGGCTGACAGTTGGCATTTTGGATTCCAAAGACCTGGAAGGCATTGTCCACTTCGCTCTTGCGGAATGAGATGTAAAACTCCCAGGCCCTCCAGGCTGATTCCGGCTCAAAACCGTGACCCCGGAACCTGCAAACCCCAAGCCTCCGATTGACTCAACCCTGAAGTAAATCGAGAGCAAGGCCCTGAGGCTAAGTGCAACACCTTAGCACGGCAAGGCACCGGGCGCTGGCCTGTAACGACACACTCTGCCTTCGTCACGTCCTTTGGCATTGGGCTTAAATTAAATCGCTTGAAGCTTGTTAAGGTAATAGAACATCATGGGCAGTCTTCACAACAGAACAGTCATTCGTAATTTCTGTCTGTGACAAACGGACCAGCAACTCCACCACAACCACTACCATTACCATTACCATTACCACTACCACTACCACTACCACTACCACTACTACTACTACTACTGCTGCTGCTACTACTACTACTACTACTACTATTACTACTGCTACTATTACTGCTACTACTACTACTACTACTACTAC